TTGCTGATCAAGAACTAATGTTTAAAAAATTCACAAATTGAAATTCAAATTCCTCGACTTTATTTTAAAATCAATAATTCTATTTCGAGAATTTCTAATCGAATTATTTTTTTTTCAAATTGTAATTGATTTTTAAGACCTAGGAACTTTTGAATTTACCTTTATCATACACTAAACGATCTCTTTAATCTAATTGTAAGACTTAGTTTTACTGATAAATTTTTAATTGAATTTCTAAGAAAAGAAATCTTATATATAAATGAAATGGACTTGAAACAATATTTATTGACTTTTCAATGAACGTTTAACAAATCTAATTCGTTGGATAGACTAATCTCAATCGGAAATCTCTTTTTTTAATCATTGTACCGTGCATTTATCGACTACGCAATAAATTCTGATATCGTTTATACCAATTACCTATCAAACGTAGAAAACCTCGTCCGATTATTCGATTAACTAAGTATAAAATTTCTTGACAACTTTATTAGGATGAAATACTGAGAAGAACTTAAGAGAATGTATGCATAAAAAAATTTGCTACGAGTCATTGCATCTATTAACCTTCTCAACCAAACTCAAGAACTTTATATGAAAATGCGATTCTACTTTCCGCTTCTTGAGATAAATGTTCGTCTCCTTCTTCACACACGCATACATTCATACGCGTACGCATAAATACACCTTACATACATATTCCCCTCTCTCTGTTTCTTTCTTTCTTTCCTGAGTCCTTGAATATGAACAAATGATTCTTCTGTCCTTGTTCCACTACTGAATAATATGATTTCGAAATGATATATCATTTCTATTTAAACTAATTGCAATTAATAAATGTAGAGACACAAAATGTAACAAGTTTATCTACAATTTTTTCTTGCAATTATTCATCCCAATTAAAAATATTATTATTTTGTATATAATTTGAATCTGTAATATCATATCAAAACAGTCTATAACTTTTTTCAATTCAACTAAAATTAAGACAAAATCGTTTATCTAAATTAAAATATATTGTTAACCTCGACAAATAACTATTGTCCTTGCACAATTTCTGCTAAATTAAATGATTATGAAAGTATCTTCAAATTGCATTAAGTATGTAATAAATAATTTAACTATAAGATATACTAAGATAAATTCTTAAAATTAATTATTCATCCTAATTAAAAACAATTCTAACCTCATTTCTATCATTGGACTTCGATCATCTACCAAAGAAGGAAATAAAGGACGACTGCGAAAACCAATGATATTCTCGGAAAAAAACGCAAACAATAGATTTTTATTGTTGGTATTATTGTTGCGATAAAGTATAGTTTAATGGAATGAGTATGATGTCATCAACTCTAATAATAAAAAATAAAATGAATAAAACGAAATTAAATAAAATTCAAATTAATTTCGATCAAATATGCTTAAACATTTAATGAAAAATATTTTTTAAACAAACTTTCGATCCTTTCTCTTTAAAATCTTAAAATAAATAAATAAATCAGAAATAAATAATAGAAAATTTCGATTTATGAACGAAGTTGAGATCGAACAAGTAATAAAATAAGATTTGTTCTTGAGATTGAATGAGTAAAGAACGCGTTTGTGAACAGCTCGTAAGAAGAGAGGTTATACCTCTCTCGAATATATACTACGTGTATATATATGTATATATATACGCATGCATGCATGCATGCATGCACATCGTTGAAACAAACATCGGATTACCTTTCATTTAATTGTACTAGAAGCAAGTATATGTAAGAATGTATGTGTGAGGTGCGGCCCTAGAGACTCGAGATCAGTAGCATGACTATACCCATCTACACATGTATGTATGTGTGTATATGTGCTGCAATCATATAATGTGTTGTATGTGAATATCTATGAATTAAACTTCTATTCTTTGTATATGTTGTATTCCAATAACAATGATTATAAATATACTAGATTACCGTTAGATCAAACCTCGAGCATGATTGAATGCGAACTAATCAATGAAACGAAATTTGTATTCGCTTAGTGCCGATTTAATGTCTTATCCTAAAACGCCGTCCTTAATACGAAATTATGATTCGTTCTGTAATGATCAATCATAAACTAGCGAGTATCAAGTGTAATAACAATTAATTTCGTTTTATTAAAGATTATGTTGCATAGATTATTATAAAATAAGTTCATTAATGTATGAAACAAAAACGATATTAATTATTAGTAGACCTAATAAGAATGATTGAAAAATTGAATTACTATGATTGATTATAAGAGTACTAAAATTAAAATGAATTGTTTTAAATTTCAGAAATGTTATTAGAAAAGAAGTGAAATTAATTTAACTTAAATAAAGAAAAGAAAAATGAAATATGTGGGAATATAACGTAGCGCGTGGGACAAGATGGCGCTGTTAATGGTGACGACCGTTAGCTAACGTTTAAAATGTATGTATGTACTCGTATATATGCGTACCTAGTTATAATTAAAAATATATAAGCTAGGTCAAAAATGTGTAAATAAATTTAAAAATTACTCACTTTATTTCGAGATTATTTACACTACTTTTTTCTTCAAATTATTTAATTGCAAGTTAACTTGATAAAATTACAAGTCTAATTACAAATGTAAGAAAATCTCGAAAAAGAGAGTAATTGATTTTGAAAATTACTTACACTGTTTGGCAATTTGGCTCATCCTATATATTAATTTAAAAATCGATGCGATATAAATGAAAAGAAATATTGAAATAGAAATAAAGAGACATGTTTGACTTCTATAGTATCCGGATGAACAGTATGTAACATACTGGCGTGGCAAGCTTCAATGTAAACAGTATCAACGAGCTTTCGAATGAGTCCTATGGAGGGGATGACGTAAGCAAACCGAACTGTTCCGAATGACGTATAATTTAAACGAACATTGAACGCGCGAGGAAGCTGATATAACTAATAAGTAAAAAATTACAAAAAAAAAAAGAATTATTATTAACAAACATAAGACAATATTGAAAAAATTTAAAAAAACGTATAAATTATTTTATATATTATTTCTATCTTCTATACATAAACAACTAGTATAATATCGAAAGAATCGATTGATTGATCTTCTCAATTTAATAAGTCAAGTAAAATAAATTTTCGATGGATCGAGAAATTTTCCAACGGCACGTGTTTGCAACAATAGAAATAAATTTTACAATCGGCCATGTGATGATAAAAGTGAATGCTTTGGCAGATTATGTTTTTAAAGAATCTTATTCAAGTACTAATGATTACAAGGGTCTTTCTTTGTTGATTTACCTCTATAATTTACTTCTACGACTATCTTTATAAGATAAAGATCAATGACCAAAGGACCCTACAAAAGAAAGGACAACAGAATAGACCTGACCATAAATACTTTCTTAGAAATGGTGGTAATTTGACCCATCGAATAGCTAGTTCTACTGTTCCGACGTACACAAAATCTAAATAAATTATTATTATTATGTGTAGATAATAATAAAAATAATAAAATAATAATTTTTGTATATTTTTGATAGATATTGTAATGAAATTCTATTCATCTAAAATTAAAATAAGTTAAGTACGAAAAGTTACTGGATGATATATAAAAATTAAAAATAAACTTTTAAATTAATTTCAGCTTTAATAATAAAACTGAAAACTTAAGAACATTTAACACACTCTGTACAATAAATTTAAAATAATATTTAACGTATTTTGCAAATAAACTTTAAAAATATAATTCTTACATGGTACATGGATTGTCATTTATACTAATTATCGTATCATTAAAGAAATGTATTAATTAACTGAATTACTTCGAAAAACTAACGATACCCCTAATCTGTAAATTTTATTGTTAGTAAGAATATTTTTATTGGATAAATCAAAAAGTAAATTACGATAGTAAGAAATGTAGTAAGACAAATTGTAATCGAGCAGAAAACTTCAAGCCGTTTTCTATTTTAGACGACGAGAACGATGTCCACCGAAGCTAAATATTCCTCTCTGTGTATTTCAAACTGGAGTACACACAATGAACAGATTTCACGTTTATTATGGCTTTGATCTAACTTTATATAAGATGTATATCCACGAATTATTGATAACTATGTTAACTATGTATGACAAACAAACAAATTAATAAATAAATAAATTCACAAATAAAAAAAGATAATTAAATAAAATTTTAACAATTTTTCTAAACATATAAAATAGCTGTCATAACCTTCTAATAACTTTCATCAAAACTAAACAACCTATTAGCATAAAAACAAAACCATAAATGGAAAAACATTAATTTTTGAAATTCTAGATTAAGAGGTTAACTTTTGAAAACTAACGAAACATAAAATTATAATTTTAAATGTCTAGGACTATAATAAAAAAGAATACTATTTCGACAAGTGTCACTATAATTTTGAATGTATTAATTAATATTGACAAATTTAAAATTCAACTACTTCCTCTAAATCGAAAAATAAACGTTGAATAAATTATGAATGAAATACTCTGAGATGCATAATATTCTCTTCGGTTTAAAGCAACGGATAGAATATATATTACAATAATATTTGGAAGGTAGGGAAAATACATAGTACGTTTTTAAATTTATCCACGTCGACGACTATTATGAGCCACTGTTTGAACGATGCTGTGGAGGACGCAATCGAAGTTACACTCTGTTAGTTGTCGATGCATTTACGAAATACGTTTGTCTATTCTCTCGTTTAGTAGAATATATCATGAAATCGGAAGAGTCTATTAGGCCTCTAGTAAAAGAAAGACAGACAGGCAGGCAGGCAGGCAGACAGACAGACAGACAGACAGACAGAGAAAGAGAGAGAAAAAGAAAAAAGAGATAGAGAAATAGAGAGAAAGAGTGTACACTTTTAAACGGTATAGTCGTCCAGACGCTTTACAACGCGATACCATTAGCAAGGAAAAGTATTTAACGTCAAAAAAATTAAAAGGTTTTATTTAAAAAATGAATGAATAAATACATACAACATAATCCGTTTGTATGCTGGCACCAACGCAGAAGCAGCCTTCGAATGAAGAGATACCAACGACGAATTCTCTCTGCTTGCTGTAGAAGAATCTTCGGTCGAATCCCCGCGAGTCACGGTTAATATCACACTTCACCTTTGCACTTTATTATTCGTTGTTGTTACTTTTTGACAATTATTAATTATTCTTCTTTTACCTCTCGTCGCACTTTCACGGCACATCGTGCTAAGAAGAAGATCAAACTACGACGACGCATGATATATTATTATTTTTATGGGCGTTTAAGGATACTACTACGTCTCGAAATGTTTCTAACGATTTTATGTGCTTCGTATTTATTATTTATCTGTCTTCTCAAACGCATATGCATCTAGATACGTACACTTTTCTACGAAGGCACTTACTTATCTTTTCTTTTTTTTTTTTTTAACTTTAAATGCACATCGAACAAAAATACACTGCTAGCTAACAAGTGTTAGCCATCTTGTATCCACCCGAAGCACAACCCAATCTCCCACAGTGCATCGCGAGGCTGCCGAGTTCGTACTGACGGTAGAGAGAAGGGAATGGCCGGCCTCAGATTGGTAGGTGGGATCGATCGGATTCTCTGATTGGTCCATGACGACACAACTGCTTGCTCGTCTACCGTTGTTACTCTTATTGTCTTTCTCTCCCTCTCTCTTTCTTTCTTCCTTTATTGCTCCTTCTTTTTCTCCCTATGTTTTCTTTGCTTATTATAAAGCACTATACACCAAATGGCGCTATCTTTGAAAATTGTCGTATAACAGTTTATTTAATCATAACGAAGCGCTAAGAGAATAATTGTTTATTATTAGACGAATCGTAACATATTCCATTCTTAAAATTTTATATTTTGTATTAAATTTGTGGGAAATCCAATGGCCGCGGGCCGAATGGCTAGTTACTGACCATCGTAACAACCAATGAGAAAGCCGGACACGACAAGGAATTTCACCTTTTTATTTGTGATCTCTCAGAACAGATTTTATTCAACAAGATACAGAATTTATACACACACGCACAATGAGATACAGAATGATAAATTGATATGGAAGAGAGAGCAAGCGCAGTCGACTGATAAGCTCAGCGATTGATATCGAACACCTATCGAGAAATCCGTTGGATCGATGATCTCCGAGGTGCGAGGAGATGAATCCAGGAAGTACGCCACTAGGCCCGACCAATCAGATTCCCAGGCGCAATTACGCTGCGAATTCTGACCAATCGGCCGTCTTTCATCATGGTCTGGTTACAAAGCCGAGGCAGAAAAGTGTCGTTGCTAGACACGCGCACCTCTAGTAGTTTTTGGGCACGTCTGCCGAACTGAGCGCTTGCAGCCGCGAGATGTCGGCACTGTCCTGGTGCAAGACGTCAGAGCTACGGATAGTCAACCATGGGGTGTCAGCACCGAGCAGGTGCGTGTAGAGGGTTTCTCTATAGTAAAAATAATATTAGACTGAATTTTATTTTATGATTTTTATTGTTAGGATGCTACTTGCTTTTCTTTGTTGTACACTTCTCAACGGCTACGCACAGACTGTACTGTCTGGTGACCACACTTGTTAGCGTGGTTCCCTAGCCTTCTAGTAACTTAGATGGCGCGACCTTCGGTCGTACCGCTACATGCGAGACGCAACGATCCCATTCGTACGATAATTATCGTACGCGTACGATAATTTGAGGTCCTGTACGATCCAAAATCCATTTTCCAAAGGTGCACCCCCACCCCAACCCTCACTCCCACCACCACTCCCACCATCACTACCACCACCACCACGATCTCCTCGAAAAGGTCATCAACTTGAAAAAGTTGGAACTTGGCCACTTTTTTCGACTTTTTCAAAATTCTGTCCGAGATTTGTCGGATTTCAAATTTTCCCGGGGCGTACGATAATTTTCTGTCGCGTACGATAATTTTGCGCCCCTGTGTCCATCAAACGAACTAAAGTCTCTGGGATCACTGGCGGGACGCCACAAATTGAATACGGGACATTCTAAGTAATATGGGATACATTAGAAACAATAATTAATTAAAAGAATTATTATGATATTTATTATGCAAAACATTTAATGATATACCAAAATATTTTTATACATATTATCGCTCGATAGTATCATTACAATTCTTTGGTGCATGTAGAAAATATATCTAAACTAAGTTTAATTACGTATACAATGCGTAAGTGTAAACAAACCATGAGGAATATGATAATTACAGTGTATTTATTTTTATATGATATTAATTATAATAAGAAATAGTTATACCTAAGATATATATTAAAATTATGGACGATTTTATTCTTATATCACCATTGCTTAGAAAAGGATAAAAAAAATCATACGGTAATGTCAAGTCTAAATTTGGACCACCTGCGAAATAATATCGGGATGGTTTGGATATATCATGAAATGTGACAAAACTGGTAATATCGATTTGAAGCACATTTGTGCAATTTTTCATAATGCATTTTGGCCAAGATAAATCTGTCTCTTCAGAGAATGTAGCGCCTATACCTAATATGTCATAGTTTGTTAAACTTTCTGATTTAGGTGATACAGAATATAATATATCATATTTTATAGATGTTATTAATCCTGAACATCGAATCCAGCCATTGAGAATTTGGCCAGTTATTACATGATGAGGTACTCTATCGAGTAAAATTTTTATCCATTCCGAAGTATTGTTGTTAGTAAAATTTCCTAATTTAGAGATATATATAGCATATTGATCAGCTTGTGTTACATTAAGCAAAGTATCTTCCATTAAGAAATGTAAAGTTTTGTTATGTAATTCTATGCAAGACGTAGTTGTAAAACTAGTCGTATTCAATGTTAGGGAACATTTAACTTTAATATCTTCTCCAAAAGTTACAGTATATCTATTGGTTTGACTACATTCACGGTTTTGCTGTCCTAATGGCAAAGTTAAAAAACTTTTAGTTTTATTAAAACTAATATAACGAAATTCTATATTATTAGTCTTATTTGTCTTAATGGTTCCTATGATTAAAGGTTTTCCACGAATGTAGCCAGGATTACCACTACGATCAAATATAATTTTTTTATTCTGATCATTCCATTCGTAACTTACCTCAAATGATTGATAGAATTGTTCATATACGTTACCTATTAGAAAATGTATTGTAATGTTATCTATACCAAAAGTACCATTATGGCTTATTATATATTTAACTCCTTTAATAATATTATGACACATTTCCTTAGAGCAAGAACCCAATATTTCTGCGTTGTTGCAATTATTCCAAGAATTTCGACAATAATGACTGATTGGAGATAAACATATGTTCTTTGGACAGCTCTACAAATTAAAAATACAATTGATGTACAACTTTATTATGAACTCAACTTATATGAATTGTATTTTATTATTTATAAGTGTTTACTTGATCCGATGAAAGAATGTAAGTTTGATTAAACAAATGTAACGACTTAATAATCGTAAAATTATTGTATGTTGACGGAAATAAGAACTGGTTTGCATCATTTAGTTCAACTTGCATACAAGAATCTTTCCAATTATTAAGATATTTAATCATCTTTTTAAAAGAACATTTTCCCGTAAAACCTGTTTGTAGTAACTCTAAAATTATATACAAAAAAGATCAATGTAATCATAACACCAATATATCTCTATTTAATCATATTTTAATTATTTATAATATTACCTAAAGGTTTTATATAATTATTTTGTAATTTCCATACAAAGTCACCTTCTTTATAGGTACTAGTGACGTTATACATAAACATATTTTGATGATGCTCGAATCTCCATTTTGGTATATCTTTCTTTATCTCTGACAATAAATCTTTTTGATTATTAATAACCTACGAGAAAAAAAATTAATTAAATGCTGATTCGTATAATAAAATAGTTGTTATGAAATAAAATAATAGACTTACTAAGTTATTATTAACACTGTACACAGGTGGAAGGTTGTCGTAAAGAATGCAAAATAAATTATTAGCTAACTTTTCGAGAATAAAAGGAGTGTTATTTCTCTGAATAAAATTTCTACTGTAACAGTAACGACTATCATATAATTCTGTATGATAATCTTTACAGTGAGAGAATACTTTTAAATGATGATCTTTGCAATCCATATCACAGCAACAATTGATGTCACACGATGCTACCTGTTTACATAAATAAAATAAGAATCTATTTTATACTTCAACATAATGCTATAAATACAACAAAAATATAAGAAATAAATTATAATTACAGTTAAATCACATTCGCATATATCAGACTGTTTTTTGTATATACTATGATCATTTGTTTCCGAGTCGAATTTGTGGACAATAATCGAAGCTGCAGTAGTCGTTGTCTCAGATTGTGGAATTTCTGTTATATTCATTAAATTAATAGTTAACGTTGATTCAGTAATATTAATAGTGACATTTAGAAAATTATTTGACGTAAGACCGTCTTCATTATATATTTCTGTGTAATTATCGGTATCTGTAAATTCGTCGCAGTCTGTTCCCTTCAAACATGTTATTATATCCTCAATTCTCTCTAGAGAAACTAAGTTTTTGGATAAACAAATGAAGTATAGTAATAAAAATATTCTCAGCATTTTTAATGCAATATAAAAGTTCCTATATATTTAGTGAGATCGTATAGCAGTCTCTTTCTGAAATATTTAATGTCTTCATAAATGACATCCAAATTTGTCGAAATTCCTAGCAAGTATGTGCAGTTCGATTTGAATAGTGCCTATACTTTCTGTAAGTAATTCAAATCTATCCACAGCATTAACTAAAACATTTGGAGATTTCAATTGTAAAACCACTCCTAAAAATTTGTCTCTCAGTCTATCTTTCCAATCACCTATAATTAAACAAGAAAATATAAATAATCCAAAAATAATTATATTATATAATAGATTATACTTTTTAAGAGAATATACTGACCGATCGGTTTCCATGTATGACAGTTTAAACAATGAGATCCAGGAGATAATGGTATATTACAAACGCCATAAGAATTGAATAATACTCTCCCATAATTATCTCTAGAAAATATTTGTAGAAGTAGTTTTGGAGAATTCTGTAGTGTCTGCGTAGTGTAATGTATATCAATAGGATGATCCCAAATTGGTTCGTTAGTATATATATCACAACTTTCTTGAGTTTGTCCTTCTTCACTTCCTTCTATGATTTTCCAACCATTTCCTATTATATTGTAAAAGTAATTATAGTAACAATATTTTTTAACGTTATAAGAAATTATTAAATGAAGAAAAAGAAAATCACAGGTAAATAATTATTCTTTACCAGCATGAAAACTCCATTTACAAAATAGCTGAGATTCTTTGAAATTTTTGGCTAAAGATATTTGACCAATAATATGCAACTCAGCCATATCATAAAATCATGTTACTGCTTTACAAACCAAATTGATTACTTAATTATAATAATATATGATGTATTATTTCACAAAACAAAAAAAAGTATAATATATCTATATCTGACAAATGAAGTTTTATTTTGTATAAATAAAGTATTATATTTAAATATAAAATACAAGTGAATTCGTTCTTATTAAAAAAACGCGTACATACAAGAAGAATATGATGTATCGACAAAAGTGGAAGACTTCTAAAACATAAACAAACGGTAACGATGCAACACTACCAATATCGAAATTTCATAAGCGTTAGTATTACCCGCGTATGAATAATCTTAATTTTGATTGGTTGGTTTTAAAAAACTTAAAAATACTTTCATCAGATTGGTTCTTGTTAGAGACGTTGGCACTATCTTCTACAAGCCAGTGAAGCCAGATCGCGGAACATTTCTACCCCTTCTCTCGAGCCCAGCACGCCTCGCACACAACAAAATTTACGTGTCGGTCTGTCGGAAAACCGAAAGAAGCCGAGGGAAGCCGTGATAGCTGCGCGACAGAGGAGAAATAATACACCCACCACGCGCCGCGGAGAAATACATGGACACAACACATTTGAACAATGTGTAAAACAATGTGTTGTGTACAAAAAAACAAAAACAAAAAAAAGGTCGTCAACTTTGAAAAAGTTGGAAATTGCACTCTTTTTCCAGATTTTGAAAATCTCATCCGAAAAATTACAGTAATTCAAATTTTTCCAAGGGCGTACGATAATTTTCCGGTGTGTACGATAATTTTACGCCCCTGTGTCGATCAAACGAACTAAAGTCTCTGGGATCACTGCTGACTAGGGATCACTGTTCACTGCTACAAGCAAATCGTATACTGTAACTAAATGTACCTTAATAAATCCTAACCTAAGTTAAGATTTACATTTATATAAATACATATATATATATATATATATATAAATAAACATTAATTGAAGATTTTATTATAATGACTACTAATATAAGACGTGTATTATATAAAAAGGTATATAAGATTTTTAAATAAATGTTATACAAATATTCAAATGTTATTGACAAGGTTTTTTTTAAAGAAATTAAAATTATATTCATTTTTAGATTACAAAGTTTACAGAAAATGCAGAAGATGCAATGAATATAATTTCTTATTTAAACATAAAACAAAAACAACCAGGAGTATTTTCTTTTATACTTCCTTTGCAAACAAAACAGTATAATTTCAAAAACAACATTGAAACTATATTAAATTCTGACATAAAATCAGATTTAAGCAATATTACTGTTGAAAGGGATATATTATCTTTCAATGTATTAAGAGAAGATTACATTAAGCAGCTTCTCGAAAGCAATTACCACAAAGTTGATTCTTCGATGCTTATTGATTACAGTAAAAATGTAATAGTTGAATTTAGTTCACCGAATATTGCAAAACCATTTCATTTAGGACATTTACGTTCAACTATTATAGGAAACTATATTGCCAATATAAATAGTTATTTGGGTAATAATGTGAAGAGAATAAATTATTTAGGTGATTGGGGTACTCAATATGGCTTTACTCAGGTTGGTATAGAAATGTCTAATTTTGATAACAAGAACATACAAAATGACGCCATAAAAAGTTTGTACAATGCTTACGTACTTGCCAATAAATCGGCTGAAAATGATATTAGTATTTCTAATAAAGCTAGACAAATCTTTAGACAGTTAGAAACTGGAGAAAGTACTGCATACAAAGAATGGGAATTATTTAGAAAATATACAATTAAGGATTTAAAAAAAACTTACGGAAGAATAGGTATTACTTTTGATGAATATCATTGGGAATCTATGTACAGAATAACTAATCTAAAAGAAGTAATATCGTTAATGGAAAATATGAATTTATTGGAATACGATAAAGAAAATAGAAAAGTAATACGATTAGATGTAGATAAAGTTATACCTATTATTAAAAGTGATGGAACGTCATTGTATTTAACGAGAGATGTGGGAGCAGCTATCGACAGGTATAAAAAATATAAATTTGATATGATGTATTATGTCGTTGACCAAACACAAAGTAAACATTTTACAAATCTAATAGAAATATTACATAAAATGAATATGTCTTGGGCAGAGAAATTAAAACATATAAGATATGGACGTGTAATTGGTATGAGTACTAGAAAAGGTACAGCTATATTTTTACATGATATTTTAAATGAAATTAAAGATGTTGCGAGAGAAAAGCAAATTCAATCTCCCAGTAAGTGATTTTTACATTGCCTGTTATTTTGAGCGAAAATTTCATTATATAAAAAAAATTATAAAACGTCATGTATTTTAGCAACTAAAGTTTCTTTGGATTTGTCCGATAACAGTTCAGATATATTAGGAATTTCTGCTGTAATAATTAATGATCTAAAACAAAGGAGGCAACGAGATTATACATTCAATTGGGATACAGCATTTAACGTGAGATCTTTTATAATAATTTTTAGTCTTTTTAAAATGAATAGTATTATAATAATTTATAAGAATATATTTTTATTTTAATATCAGATAAAAGGAGATACTGGTGTAAAACTGCAGTATGTCCATTGTCGACTTTGTAGCTTAGAAAAAAACTCTGGTGTTACTCTTCCAACTGAATGCTATCCGTCAGTTTTAAAAGAACCAGTAGTGGATGACTTGATATGTATAATTAGTAACTTTGAAAATATAGTATTAAGATCTTATCAAGATTTAGAACCATGTATTTTAGTCGGTTATCTTTTTAAACTGAGGTTAGTCATATACGAAATAATAATGATAAATGCTTTTTAATAAGTATGTATTTAAAAATATTTATTTTATGCAGCTATACTATCAACAAAGCTTTTGAGACATTGCAAGTTAAAGGTGAAACCGCAGATATTAGCAATCAAAGACTACTTCTTTTCCATGTAGCAAAAAACGTCCTTGCACAAGGGATGAAGTTACTTGGTTTAACACCTCTAAGCAAAATGTAAAATGAAGCTTATCGCAAGATATCAAATGTATTATAAATACTGTGAAAAGAGATTAGAAGTTCTTTTTTATCTAATATTTATAAATGTTCTCATTTGATGAATATATACCAACTGTTGTATCTGATATACATTAATATTCAAATAATATCAAATAATATATATTATTTGGTACAATATTAATTTAAAGGTAAAGAATTTTCTTCTTCTTTTTAAATCTACTATTCCATGCGAGATAAAATTATGTGATTTTTATAATTAAAAAAAATATATTTCGAAAATTAACGTTTCTTCCACGTAAATTTCCTTCTTGCTCCTTCTTGGCCAAATTTCTTTCTTTCACGTGTTCTCCAATCTCTTGTCAACAATCCAGCTAAAAAGTTAAAAATTTGTTAATATTATAATACACATGAAATAAAATGTATTTATTTAATTATAATTCTCCATTATTTAATATCTTACCAATTTTCATATTTTCTACAACCTCAGGAGTAACGAAACTTCGGAGACCCCACGCAATGCCCCACCTTATTGCACCCGATTGTCCAGTATACCCTCCACCTTCGACAACGGCTTCGATATCAACTTTCTCAATCATATTTGTAAAAATTAATGGAAATATTACCTGTAAATCGTTACATTTTATTTACCACATCTATTGTATATATCTAAATTTGAATAAGATAAGGTATAATGCTATACTAATGAAAATTAAATCTTAACAAAAAATATATGTAGCTACTAAAATTTATATAATACCTTATTGTTAAAACATTTGTTTACAAAAAACGTCATCGTTATAGATTATCCAAAAAATTTTTATAGCAAGAGAGAAATGAAAAATTAAATTTTCATTAATATATATATTTTTCAAATATGTTCTCAATCATCTTGAGAATCAGTTTCCTATATATCAGTCTTTATAATACATTAAGTGAGTTTTTTTTAATTGTTTGTTTAATTTTTCTATTAATAAAAAAGGCAAATAGATATGACAATAATCCATAGATACATACATATATATACATATGTATAATTTATGTAATTATGTGTTCATATTCACGTACACTTTGCCCAACTCATATACTTTTGTCCTTGGCAAGATGATTAATAATATCCTCCAACATATCGTTAGTATGTAACAATTGTGTTTTAAGTGACTTTATGATTTCTTCATTAGCATTCAATCTTGTTGATAATTTTTCAATAGCCGATCTCAAGCCAGATTCGGAAGATTCTTCACTTTGTTGCTTCATCCAAGTTACATGGTCGCTAAGACTAATATTGTCATCATTGATATATGGCATATTCTTTTGTGCAATCTCGTAAGCAGCCTTTAATATATCCTTGGGCAAACGTTTTTCCAAAGGATTTAATGGTTTTACAACGAGAACGTGTTTACGATTTTCCACGTCTATTTTATGATTGGTCATCCATTTTCGGAATGTGTATGGTATGGACGCATTGTGCAGTACCATTTCAGTAAAAAGAATTAATTTAGTTTGACGTACCAATTTAGTAAGTCCTGCATGATTTCTCAAACCATTAATATCATGTACGGCGATGCCAACTAATAAGTTCATTAATATCACCGTTACGAAAACGATGAAGAGAGTGAAGAGGATTTGAGAACAGACTGACAGTGGATGATATATTACGAAAGGACCGTCGGCATCCGCTTGATTAATAAGACCCTCAAAGTCTAACTCGCCAGCCATCATTGCTAGGACTTTGATAAGTCCGGTAAAAGGATTACCAAAAGCTGGCTCGCCAACGAAAATAACGCAAAAGCTAATGGTAAATCCTATTAATAATCCTGAATAAGCCAGTAAAAGTTTAGCAAATTCAAATTGTATATGAGTGAACATGGCAACGTATGTTCCAAAAGCAGGTAATTGTCCGACCATCAACATCAGATTTGTCCAGGCACAAAGTATTGCAAATGCACCGACGTAATTTTGCCAATCATATGTCTTTCCCGTGTAAACGAATGACGTTACAAAAACGCTTACTATAACAATACCATCAAGTACGTTATCTATGTTCGAGAAATATTGTTTCACTGATTTATAAACCATAAAACCAAATATCTTTCTAGGTATTGTTACACAGGTCAGCACAAGACAAAGGTACCACTCAATCTCGATGACTGGTCTTCTGAATAGAAAGCCTGATATTCTTTTACTGTTGCAGATTTTCGAATTTGGATAATCATCGTGATTGTAACATTTATATGCAAGTGCTGTTAGAACGTAAGTAGTCATGCAGATAACCGTCATGGCATAAAGGAAAATTCTCATCAAATAAAACTTTCTTATCTTTTCCCATTTGAGATGAAGAAAAGCCATAACTAATGGATGAGATAGTAGATCCTTTCGACGTTCTTGTACGAAAGTATTGATGAAACTGGTTTCGCATTGATTGTTGCTCGGAAAGAGTAGGTCAAAGTGTAATCTCATTTCAAACTCTCTGTTGTGTGGTACCGGCCGTCTAAGTCTGATAGAGGCATCGAGTCTTTCTCGAAAAACTTGAAGAGACTCAGGTATTTTTCTCAGTATAATATTTAAAGCTGATAATCCTGCACTGGTGGTAGCACTAACGTCAGCTCCTGCCCAAATCAAAGTATCCACGCAATGAGACTGTTCATTCAAAGCAGCTATATGAAGTGGAGTGAATCCTGTTCGGTCGGCCGCATTGACTAAGGCACCATGCTTCAATAAAAGTTCGACCAATACTGCCGAAGAATCTGTACTCATAACGGCAAAATGTAATGGCGTCCTGTGCGTACGATCAACAGCATTAATGTTACTACCTGGTACAGTCAGTAAAAGTTCGACGCAGGGTATCGATTGTACGAAACAAGCAACATGAAGTGGAGTCTCTCCAAGATGGTTCTTTTCAACAATGCTAGCACCGCGTTCCAAGAGCACCTTAACCACGTCTATTGCTTTTGTTCGAATGGCACAGTGAAGTACTGGTTCAACTATTTCTCCATAAGCACATGTATGTAACTTGGCACCGCTGTCTAAAAGTAAAATGGTCGTTTCTCTTGATTTTCCAGCAGCCGCGAAGTGTAGACAAGTGTAATGATTCGTTGGATTTTCACTATTAACATCAACACCTTTCCTGATAAGATGTTCTAAACAGGACACGTTACCACTCAAGGAAGCAGTAAGTATAGCGTTCATTCCAGTGCACGGCTCTATGTAATTAATATCAGCGCCCAATTCTTCGAGTTTAGCTAATAGATGAGAAAGACCACGATGACATGCCCAAATATAAGCAAGGTTCTTCAAATTCTCAGTTAATGTCATTTCCGGTGGCACAACACCACTCTTTTCCATTTCCAACAACAATTTGATCTCGGTTATACCTAAGATAGACCAAAGGATTGACCTGATATTGCTACCATCTACGCGTAATACGTTCCTCAAAGCTTCCAAATTATCGAAGAAAAGAGATTCATCTGCTGGCGGTGGTTCACCTGCATCGATTTCGACGTGTTTAATCATGGAATTGGTTGTTAAATCCTCATTGACTACCACGATTTGTTCAGGACAATAATCAGTAACGTGTCCATATCTTGCTGACCTGTAGGTTGAAGCCAATCTCACGGACAAAGGATCTTCTCCATTGGGACGATCGTTCAAACAAGACATTGAGTAAAGTCTTCTTCTTCCTTCGTTGTTATTGTTGTTGTTGTTGTTCTTTACCAAACTTGATGGTAGTTTTAGGTTGTCCATCTTTGTATCTTCAATCTCACTGATAAATATTAACAGGAAATCTTAATTTTCCACTAAGAAAATGTTATTTTTTCAGTTTCTTTTAAAAGACTAAAAAGATATCCAACTAGCTAACTTTCGATGTGAACGAAACTCAGGTCACTACGTATTTATCTTTCTTCTTGATCTCCTCCACGGAACATCTCAATCATTTCTCTACTTCTGTCTCTGTCTCTCGTTTTCTTCGTTTATCGTGTCACGTCCCAAAGTCGTTTAAGATCGTTTTAACTACACGCGACTACCGGTGCCACTCGGCCGAGTGACTTATATCGTTTCTACGTTACATTGCAATGGTATACTGAGGATAATCCAAGCGAGTGATAGAGTGAGAAAGAAAGATAGAAGAAAAAGGGAGAGGTATATGCAGTCTATATATAGAACTTAGGACGTTATCGCTTGGATTTAGCAACTGCAGAACTCAGCGACCCCGTGTGTTTTTGGCCGTGAACTTCATTGGACACTATTGCCTAACGGGACAGGGTCATAGCATCAGCTAACGTACAGTATCCAACAGAGACGATTACTTTTGCTTACTTACTTTCTCTTCTCCTATTTTTTCAAATTAATTTATTTTCCTTCGATACCGATTATCTACATGAAATCGTTTCAAAACCACTTTCGAACGATTTCAAATGAATCTTTAGACTTGATTCGTGCGCTGAAATATTTTAATCAATATTTTCGATTTTTTGATATTTTTTCTATGAAGAGAATTGATGAATTTATACAAAATAGCTTTCTCTCGGTACAACTGTGAAGAAAGTCTGCTTTCTCTTTATGGTACCTTGCCAAAAGATACCTTTTTTATATGAGAAAATACAAAAAAGGATTAATTCTTAATCATGCTGATAATCATGTTTTGATAAATGATTTTTCGTGACAATTAACTCGAGGAATTTTTTTTCTCATTGATTTATTCAAAAAATGAATGCCATCTCTGAGGAAATATATTTTATTTCTGCATCTTTAGATTTTCCTTAAGTCGAATTTAAAATGACTATGTTAGAATGATTAAGAGAAAATTGTTATGATTATTAAATACTAATTCGTTCTGTGGTGTTAATTTAATTTTCTTTTTACTGTATTATTGTCTTTAGAATTATTATTGAAGCAATAAAATAAAGTTAAGTGAACAAAAATCGATAATTAAATTTGATTCAAATGGATTTGTTTTCTTTTTTAAACAATGGTTCGTTATCGCGCGAACAATTGTAATATATATGTGTAGACTAGTTGAAAACGTTTCACGTATCACCTATTGTTATATTTTCAATAGATCTTGCCGGAGGCTAACTTGCCACGTTGAGCACGACCGGTTTGTGCGATTGCTTGACGAATACTACTCCCTAAGAATTGGTCTTTCGCTTGACGACAAAATCCACGGAGAAATAAAAAGATGGTAATATTAAGAATTCCTTTGGAGGGAGAAGATAAAGTGAAATAAATAAATATAAAGAGAAGTGGGATCAATAATCAATATGAAAGAGGGAGTTTTTTGTGATTAAAAAGAAAAAAAAATGTAAGGACGCGCGAGAGCTATTGTTTGTTAATATTTCTAAAGTAGAGAACCTTTTTTTGATGATAAAACCTTTTATGTTAATAATAAAAATTTGAATTTTCTTTTCTTTAATAAATTTAAAAAAGAGGATTTTTTAATTGTAAATATAATATAAGAATTTTTGTACAAATAAATATAAATAGGAGAATTGTATATATTTTTACTAAATATAAAGAAAATAATTCTTTTTACAAAATTTAAAAATGAATTTTTATCTCATCTTCAAAATAAATATATGATGATAATGATGACAATTATATATGATGATTAATCAAGTTACATGAACAATATTTAACTATTCTTGTAGTATTCGTCATCTATACAAATACTGAATTTTTATTTAATATATCGATATTTATTTATAAGTTTAGAGTGTCTTCACTAAAACAATATTTCAAAGACTTTTTTATAAGTGTTTAAACTATGAAGAGAAAAAATGCGTATAGATCATTTATTATCTTCCTCTTGTTCTTTCATTATTTTTAACATATAGTCACGTACGTTACGCATATTTTTAATTATGCATATTTTTTTAATTATCGCCATTGTCTTGCATTTAAATATTTTTCTTTTTTATTTAAAACATAAAAATACCATCTTCTCATCCGTAAAACCAGCGCATTATTAGAAATAAATTTATTTCAATAATTGATGTTAACTGTTCCAAATATTTTTCATCTCTTAAAGAAATGAGGTACAAGAATGGTGAATGAAGGAATCTTGTGCAGGAACAAGAACATTGGCAGGATTTGGTAACACTACCTAATAATAATAATAATAAATATTGTTGGTGGGCCGAAAAGTTATTAGGTAACTTTTAAAATTATTTAATTTATTTTCAGATATTTTAGTCTAATTTTTTTTATCAAATTGTAAAAATACAGACCTTGTTTTTATAATTTTCGAGTTTAATTATGTCCACTTTTAAAAAATGTATATAAAATGTATTTGTGACTTAAAAAATTTAAGAATTTCAGTTGTAGTACTTTTGATTCACCCGGTGTATTATCCATTACAAGATAGTTATCTCCCTATTTCTTTTTGACTCTCTATTCTTTTTAAATTTCTATTTCAATCTTGGTCAGTGCTTTTCACCAACAGCAACATGACAATACTTTCAAAGTGTGCCGATTTATTTAAAAATATTTTTCACAACTATAAGGATGAACTTGCAATAAACATTCTATTATCTAAAACATCACATTTCTTTAATTATGTATCCTTGAAAATAAATTAACAATAAAAGAAATAAAACATAATTAGTCGGAATTAACACATAACAGATCTTCACTTTTGTTCATAGTTCAAGATCTAAAACTGTATACTTAATTTGCAATTAAACTATTAGTCAATCATTGGCAATGATTTTAGGAATGTTTTTATAAGTCAAGTCACTATCATGACTTTAAAAAATTATTCACGTATTTGTAAATATTTAAAAAACTCAACGTCCTTGTAATAATTTCGTGCTATTTAAAAGCAAAATTACGAATCTAACATGCCATTGCGTTTTATCGAATAAATCTGAAAGTTGGTGGCACGTGAACAGGTTTTTAGAATATTTAATTTTATTTTTTTAATGGTATACTCTCTCCAGACACATTTCTTTATCTTCTGAACACCCACACTTTCTGACATTTGTCTAAAATCATAATGTCATGCTAAAACTATTTTATTCTTCGATGTCTCTATTTTCTTAGAGCTTTTTTTTTTACGAGGAATGTGCATTTATGTGCCTATTAAAATAGCTGAGTAAAGAAATCGATATTTAAATAATAAAAAAAAATTGTTGAAGAAAGAAATGGGCAGTTAAACTCAAGTGTTTTGAAATAAAAATGCTATTAAAATATTCATAGATAAAAAAAAAAAAGAAACAAATTTCTATTTACAGTTTAAAAGTTCCCGTTGACCATTTGGAATAATATATAAAATTAATCGTTTTTTTAATTAAGAAATGAGAAATTCGTCTTATTTTGTAAAGTAAATATATTTCTTTCTTTTCATTATTTTCAATGATAGAAATTGAATTTCATTATACAAAAGTAATATGTACTAAATGTCCTTCAACTATTAGCATTATAACAGTGTCCTGTTATATTAATTAACATATTATAGTATATATATATAACGTATATCAAATGTATTTCCGTTAGAGTACAAATCATGATATGAATGGTTCTTTCTATAGATCGTATACAGATATATACATAGGTACTTGCATACATACTTTTTTAAAGCTATTTGTAAGATTATTCTGATTAAAGTTCTGCGCTATTATCTTATTTAATGGAACCTAACTGAAACAATATTTGAATTGTTAACGAAAAAAAAAAAACAATAGACCGATTTTTATCTATGACTCAAGAATTTCTAAAAGGTTAAAAAAAAAAATTAAGATGATATTAAAAATTAATTATAAAATTTTTAACATATCAGGTTAATATTTTTGTTTAAATTATGAAACAACAGACTGGTTTATAAAATCACAAATATAATTAGAACGTTACAAAATATAAAAAAAATGTAATTAATTTTCAATATAGTTAAATAACTTTTGTAACTTAACTAAAAACTTGTGGACAAAATTGTATAACAGACTTATTAGAAGAATAAAGAAGAATGTATGTTCATAGATACGTGTACTAAGATAGATACATAGATACATATGTGACGATTACCTTAACAAGATAATTTAAGATTATTTCCCTTTAGAGACATTGACGATGATTGTCTCAATATAATTGTTCATTCAACGGAGTTTGCCTTGATGTGTCGTAAACCGTTCGTGATATGTAACTTGAACAGATCTCTCTTTCTTTCCAAAATTCATTTTCGAATCTTACGTGGAATATTTTTAATTTATATTTACAATCACGTTGGTAAAGTAAGGTGATTGAGTAATTGGCATTCTTTTATTGTTACTGCTTTAAAAACACGTATAAAGAAAACACAGAGAAAAAATAAATAAAGTGTCACAATTATATATTTTGTCTTACTTTATATTTCTTTATGTTTTATTTTTATGTAATACAATAATTTTTAAAGAATTTAACTTGTACCAGATATTTTTTTGCTTAATAACGCAAGTTAATGATACATAAATGAGTAAATTTTCAGTAATATTTTCCGATTAACTTTTCTCTGTATACACGCAAAATTATTGATTTATTTTTAGTATTTTAAATGTGACCTTTTGCATAAATTGCATATGTAATAATTGCTATTTTATTGATAAGTATATATATATATATAATTTTATTTATTTTATTATTGCAGAGGTATATTTGTTTATTAAAAAAAAAGAGGAAAATATATTATAATTGCATATTTTATTTTTTGTATTAAAAATTAATTATTATTATTTATATTATACTTAATTTCTATACGATCAATCACATTTTGCACAATATTTAATCTAGTTTTATTATCTTTTATAATATTTGTGTCATGGACGGAACACAGATAGGCAACTAGTAGCGCGTAATTAAAATTTTTTGAAATTTTATAAAAAATACAAGAAAAATAAGAAAAAAAAAATACATCGCATTTCGTTGACTTATATGTTATAAAAATTTATACGAATATTAAATACCGTACAGATATGTATATACATATAAATATAAAAATATTGTTAACGCAATAAATGTTGCCTGACATGAGCAACGATTTAAAAAAAAAATATCGATGCTTTCGAATAATAAGAAATAAGCCATTAGAAACATTTTGATTTTTTTTAATAATAGCATAAAAATGTAATCAAAAAATGTATTATTACAATATTATCTTTTTGATAAATCTAGAAATCGTTTCGAAAATAATTTGATCAATATCATATTTATTTGCTTCTTTTTTTCATAAATTTCTTTTTTAATTTATTTATTTTGAAATTAAATCTCAATTAATAATAATAAAAATTTATATATATTTCATTTGCCATTAATCAAGTATATTTTTAATAGTTTTACACTGAATAGTTGTCAAAATTTGACATCCTTGATATCTATTTCACATCTAATATGTATGGTATACAAGACTATGATTAATAAAATTTGATGTTTTATTTTGTAGAAGGAAGTCAATGTGTTAAAAATATCCAAAAAAAAAAGGCAAAGGAAGTTCAGTAACAATAAAAACACACGCCATCATAGTTGGAATTTTAACGAGTTAGAAGAAATTAATTATCCAATTAATATCTCTAGTTAATTGAGGATCCGATCTAATCTATTCTCTCTAATGATTCTCATCCTCTTGCCGATCTCGATTATATCTCTTGTCCATAGCAAGTGCCACAACAAGATCTTGTATAAGCTGATGATTCTTTTCACAAATTTTTCTAACTTCCAGAATTTCGTCCTGTAATTTATTATTGTCCGCATGAAGGATATCATTTTCGTTAACGCGGCATCTCATAGTCGAGTAACCATCGCTTTTAACGTATGTGTAAGACGTACTATTACTTTTTTTACTAGTCAAGGTACCATTTAAAAATTTCCTATCCTTGGCAACTTTGTAAGCGGAAGTTAGAACGTCACGAGGTAATCTCGTCTCTCTAGGATTTAATGGCCTAACCGTAAGTATAGCACGTAATGGTGAAGGTAATACAACAGCCGTCCACCATAACAATTTTGTCAATCTGTTTGGCAAAAGTCCGAGAAACAAAGCTCTTTCAACGTCACAAATAAGTTTTGTTTGTCGTACTAATTTAGCTAGACCGGCTGTCTTTTGAAGACCTTTGATATCATGAACGGCAATACCTACGAGTAAATTCATCAATACTATAGTGACGAATAATAGGAATAACACGAAAGATAATTGTGCGGATACTTGAAGTAGGATCCATGAAGTACCACTTACATCTACTGATATACCACCTTCCTCTTTATCAGGGAAAAATTCCTCGAAACCTAACTCGCCGGTCATCATAACGAGGACTTTAATGAGACCGGTATGAGGACTGCTGAATGATTTCGATCGTGGAAAAATAACGCAGAAACTGGCCGTAAAGCCGACGAGTAAACAGGCATATGCCAGTAGTAGTTTAAAAACTTGTGCTTGAACGCTGGTAAACATTGCTACATACGCACCAAACATTGGAAGTTGTCCTATCATTAACATGAGATTAGTCCAACCACATAATACGGCGAATGCACCTACGTGACTCTGCCATGTATACGTTCTACCTGTATATACGAATGATGTAGCAAATACGCTTAGTATCACGCACCATTCGACCATATTCTCAGCTTGGGTGAAGAATTGTTTGATTGAAAGATATGTCAAAATACCTGTTAACTTTCTAAGAGCTTCTAATATAGTAAGAACTACCAAGGAGTACCATTCGACTTCTAAAACCACAGGGTGTCTATAGAGAAAACCATTTAAGCCTGTAGTGTTGGCACAAAGGGGTGTACTAGGATCATCTACCTGACCATGGGACTCGTTGTAACAATTATGAGCAAGGGCTGTTATAACCCAAGCAGTTAGAACGAGAACGTAAAGCAGGTAGAAAAGTAATCTACCAATATAATACTTTTTGATTTTTTGCCATTTAAGGTGAAGAAAAGATTGACAAAGAGGATGTTCGAGTATCTCTTTATAACCTTCCTTAACAAAAGTACCCAAATAACCGATCTCTCCTTTCTGTTGATGTTGTAGTAAGGGATGGAAATCAAGTCTCAATTCGATCTCTCCAGTGGCTGATCTATGCTGATGAAGAGTGATCGAAGCGTCTAATCTTTGTTTGAATACTTCCAATGATGTTGGTGTCTTACGTAAAATTATTGACAATGCACTGGTACCCCCTTTTGTTCTTGCACTTAGGTCACCATTGTGTTGTATTAATATATCAACGCACTGCGATAACTCATTTAAAGCAGCAACGTGTAATGGTGTATAACCATACTTATCGACCTTATTAACATTTGCCCTCGAAATGATAAGAGTTTCAGTCACGTCATATGCTAACAATGATCTACCTAATGCTAAATGAAGCGGTGTTCTACCATCGATGTCTTCATCGTTCGGATCGCTACGGCCTTTTTTTAACAATAATTCGACGGAATCTAAACAATGAGAACGTGCTGCCAAATGTAATGGAGTTTGATTTCTGTTATTCTTCAAATGAACGTTTGCATTATTTTCTAATAGCAGATCAATATTTTTAAGACATCCAGCTTCGGCAGCGAGATGTAACGCTGTATCACCTTTTTTATTTGGCAAATCAATTTGACAAGCAGCTTGTATAAGTATCTTCATACATGCTGGATCTCCTCTATCAGCAACGTGATGTATTGGTGCATAACCGTTAGCATCCAATCGATTCAACGAAATATTATTTGGTGCCAAAAGTTTTAATATTTCTAAGGCATTACAACGTGCTGCCACATGAAGTACCGTTTCTTCTGAGTGTGCCGATTCTTCGGATATACCTTTCTGTAAGAAATACCGGGCTACCTCATAGGAATTACCAAAAGCCACATAATGAAATGGTCTGTGACTTTTACCGGCATTTACGTTGGCACCATGATCGATCAAGTATTCTACTCCTGCCAACGAATTACTAAACGCGCAAAGATGCAATGGAGTCAGATTGTGCTCTTGTTCCGAGGAATTCACGTTAGCTCCACATTTTTCAAGGCTAATTATGTAATCTACTCGACCGAGAAAGCTAGCATACAATAACAGCGCATCGATCTCTTCCTTCTTATAACTAGATATTATCTTATCTTTATTTTCTACGTCGATCTTTCCCAGTTCAAGATCTTCTAAAAGTTGTACTTTACTTCCTATTTGTCTCGTATGCTCGACCAATAGATTTCGTATAATATCCTTGTTAACTTGCAAGGAATGATCAATTTCCTCGGTACATGAACTTTCGCTTACACACATGGAGTAACAATGTGGTTCTTCAACAGGTGGTGGTGTTCCATAATCCATTGAACGTTCCGAAGACCAACCACTTTCTATATCTCGCGAAGAAGGACTTTTTGATGTCAACCATCGTGTCAGCAGCAAAGAGGTTGATGTTTTACATTTAGTTGAGGCAGGTATTGTTATATTCGAGTCATTCATATTATCGGCTCTCTCTCTGTTTTCTATTTCTCTTCTTGGTAATGTTAAAATCAATGTCCTTGAAGTATCACTCATCCTGGCCTCATAGCCATTGTTCGAGCTCAATTTATCCTTGCATTCATCTAAAATAAACATAATATTGTCTATCTCTTTTCTTTCTATCTACTTTTACAAATTTCTAAAGTGAACGATATTGTGTGCTCAATTGAAAATGAAACTCCTGTAAATTATACGGATTAATGAAATAATTGTAATGTTAATTATTAATAATAAACAAAAATATAAATACAGGTACATATCGAAAGTGTAACACGCAGATTGCAAAGTCGTGTAAACCATTATATGTTGACAATTTCAGAAGATTTTATTGTCAATTTCACGAGTAATAATAAAATTAAAGTCTTTTGTTGAAATATGTACATACACGCTACGTGTGAAATGTATATGTACTTACACGTACCTATCTCCATATGACGTTGAAAACTGTCGTGAGTAAAGCGCTACTTATGTACATATGTACAACACAAATGTCAATTGGAAAATCGGGCAAATAGATTGTTAAGTACGACGTGTGAGATCCGTTACCTACTGGAACTGACATTATTTACTTCGTGACTCTAACGAGAATTCAAGACAAGAACAAGAACGTTCTCAATAATCACGTGGTCATAACATCAGAATTTATTTTAATAACAACACGGTATGTGACGTTACTTTAAAGAATTTCCACACATTCCATTTTCGTATATATATAAATAATTGTACATTATACAATTATTTATGTGTATATATTATAATTATATTATAAATATATAAATATATACGTATATATATATATTTTTTTTCTTTTCCAGATAATATATATTTAAAAATACAAAATTAAAGAAATTACGATATCTTCAAATGATAATTCTAATGAAAATGGATAGAAAGAAGTGTATATCCTTATAAAATAAAAAGAAACTTCCATGAGAGTGACTCCAATCGTAAATGAATGATCGAAAGGAGTATAATCACCTTGATGATCAAATCCAGAGAACTGCATCTATTTTGAAGAATATTAGAGGCGATTAAAAAAATAAGATTGAGGTAACTTTTATTACTCGATCGGTACCATCGGGCGGCCCGATCGAAACTGAGTCGGTCTCTGCTCCTGCTGGTCGTTCAAACTGGCAATTCTCTTCGTCGTTTCACATATACAGAAGAGAGTTGCGGAAATTACAAAGGTGCGAATAGCAAAATTGACGGGTTATAAGCTCGGCCCTCTTTCTTTTATTTTCCTTAACATCCGATTCTAAATCGTATCTTTTTGCGATTCGTTGATATCATTAAATTATTCTTGTATACGGATATATGATTTTAACATATTTTACAAGTGATTATTATTATTGTTTTCTTCGCTGGTATTTTAATAATTTATTCGAGATCTTTCGATATTATTTAAAAAAATATATTTGAGTAGACAAGTAGAATTTATAATATTACAAATTGGCCAATTTGATTTTTAAGATAGTCCATTAATAAGAAATAAATAGTGTTTTGACGGAAAGTATGAATCATTTTTATTGCTTACTAGCTTAAATAGATGATTCAATAATGTAATATCAGCGCTATATTAGATTTTTTTTGTTTTTTCTATGAAAAATAATAATTTCCTTATATATCTATAAATTTATATCTATTCGTTCGCATATTCTATTTTCAATCTATAAAGCCTAAACGATATTTTTTTTTTATATGTACAATTTAAACATACTGTGGAAAATGTGATCCATTTAAATGATCGATGATCGCTGACCAAAAAGAGAAAGTTATCTTCGCATTTCTTTCAATCGCACGTATCTTATTTTACATAAAAAATATTTTAATAAAAAAAAAAGTTAATGAAAAATAAAAAAATAAATATTAATCAGAAACATTTATTAAAAAATGTTTCCTTGTCAGTCCATAAATATGAGAAAAGAAAAAAAAAGATAATCATTTCCATTAAGCCACTTGCGAATACTTGTATTTAATGTTGGATTCATGGGCAATATTACGCAAAACCAGATTTCGATACGAAAATTTATGAATGGCATTTTTAGTTTCCAATGTTCTAACTCTACAGAGCAAAGTTGAGTGGCGTTGCTATCGTCGTCTTCGAGCTATGCAATTGGTTTAAACAGGTACCGACCGGTGAAATCATCTTTGTTCATTATATCATACACGGATCTTACGTTACGTAAGAATCAAGAAACGTTTTTGTAATTATAATCGACGCAAATAATTCTGTGATCTTTTTATTAACTCTAGTAAAACTGAAAATGCTCATATAAAAATTTTTTATATATATTACTGTTGAAATATATTATTCTGTTAATTTATAAAATAACTAGATATTATATAAAATGACTAGTCGTTTTACAGTTTGTTTTAAGAAATAACTAGGTAATATATGAATTTACGGGAGGCAAATAATTAAAGTATGGAATTGAAATTTGATCTGTCTTTAGTCAATTTTTTTGTTTACAATAATACTCGTAATTATCCTTTCTTTCCTTTTTCTGTAAGTACTTTAAAAAACAATGTTTTGTTAGTCAAGCTGTTCTATCGACTTTAAATATACAACGTAGAACAAAAGGTTATAATAGTAGATTTATAGTTCGTAGAAATGGATTTGATTCAGGAAAAGTTCGCTGAAAAATTGAAATCTTTACCGATGAGTCCTAACAGTGCACATATGTCATCAGTAAAATATAAGAAACTTGTGGAGGAAGTAAAATGTGCTAAAGTTTCTAAACGAAAAAAACCAAAGGATTTTTGGTTATTGAAACACTATGATGTAATTCAAGTTCAAAAAGTTGATAAATTAATTTTTCCTGTCATAGACCATGGAATAAGATATTACGTTACTGAAGAAGAATTGTGTGAAGTGCTATATAACACGCATTGCAATATTGGCCATGCAGGTCGTGATCGAATGATTCATGAACTGAATAAACGTTACAAAAACATCACACAACAACAAATTTCCTTGTTTTTGCAATGTTGTGATGTATGTCAACAAAAGAAGGGTTGTTCAAAAAAAGCAATAGCAAAGCCAATGGTGTGTAACCAATTTAATAGTCGATGTCAATTAAATTTGGTAGACTTTCAGTCACAGCCCGATGGTGAATACAAATTCTTTTTTGTTTACCAAGACCACTTAACGAAATTCATCTTATTACGTCCTCTAACCTCGAAATGCCCCAAGGAAATAGCTTTTAATTTGGTCGACATTTTTACCACATTCGGAGCTCCTTGTTTCTTACAGTCAGACAACGGACGAGAATTTTGCAATTCCATAATTAATGGTTTAAAAGAGTTGTGGCCAGAATTGCACATTGTTCATGGAAAATCTAGACATAGTCAGAGCCAAGGAAGCGTTGAAAGAGTCAATGAGGATATCGAAAACACGCTGGTTACCTGGATGAATGATAGAAAAACTACGAAGTGGAGTGAAGGCTTGCGTTTTGTGCAATTCATGAAGAATAGAGCCTATCATAATGAAATTAAACAGAGTCCATATCAAGCTATGTTTGGTTGTACACCAAAAGTTGGGATTTCAAATTGTGGATTGCCAAAGTCTGTATTACATTCGTTGACCACAGAAGAAGAATTGGAAAGTTTAATGCAGAGGTCAGAGATTAGAACTCCAAAAACTGAAGTTAGTACAAATATTTTAAAATGTACATCATGTAAGGCAGATATTACAAATTTTCCCAATTCATCTTTAACTGATGCATTATTGTGTAAATTTTGTGAACAGCATCAGTTTCCCAAAAAACAATGGGAAGAAAGCAATGAATGCACTGAACAACAGATAAAAAAAATTAAGCTAAGGTCTGACAGCGAGCTAGAGTCAAACCTCCCTGATCCTGCTGTTGGTGATATTGTTCACAATCCAGTGCCGGATGTGGATAAGGAAAAAACAGATGCAAGGAGTGTTTTCGCTTGTAATTTAGAAATAACTGAAGAAAAATTACATCAATTAAATACTCAGAATGAAGCATTAAAGCAATTATATATTAGGTCACAATTGGCATTATGCCACGAAAAACTGTTTGCTCTGGAAGACATTCCTCACAAACTCCCTTCTCTTCGAACTGTAGCTTCAGATCAAGACTTGGATAATGAACAGGGCTTTACTCGCTGTCACTGCACTCAAAAATGTAAAACAAAAAGGTGCCTTTGTTTAAAAAAGGGGATACTATGCCATTGGAAATGTCACGAAGGTCAAACTTGTTGTAATAAGTGATTTTCTACTGTGAAGGTCAAAACGATGACTCATAATGCAGTCATAACACAATAACTATACGTTATTATTATAGTTATATATACATATAACTATATATTATTTCATATATCTAGCTATTTCATAAGACTAGTTAAAATATATAATTTTTTATATGTTTTCTCTAAAATGCCTAATTATTTCATGTAATATTTAATTATTTTATAAATAAACTGAATTAGACATTTTAACGGTAATATATAAATTTAAAAAAATAAAACATAGAAAATGGTTTGATAAGTTTCATGCAATCCATTTTGTATACTTTTTAAGCTTATCTTTGTTTGTAAATTCATAAAAAATAATATTATGCAAAAGAAATTATTGATCAAGAACAAATATATATATATATATATATATATATTTTTTCTTTTTCTCTACTTGTTACTGTACAAAAATAAATTAGAAATAATTCAAACTCGAATGTTAAAATATTTTAAAACATAAAATATATGACTTATTGTTAGATCATAGTCATAATCGAATTAAAAGTAATAATATAATATAACAAAAACTTACTTGCTGGCGAGATTGCATGTTCTTGAAATAAGAGATGTCCTCTCCGTTAATAGTTATTTTTCCAGTACCTTCACCAAACACTGTTACTGTGGCAATTGCAGATTTTCTTTGACAAGCTACAAACAAAAGATACCATTACTATATTATTTTTTATGCATCCAAACTAGTTTAAATTAATTAAACATAATTTAATAAATTTTAAAACTTACGGAAAACCTTAACATATGGTTTCCCATCCTCAGTATACATTATCTGTAAATAAAAAAATACACATATATATTTATAAATTGGATATAAAATAATATATTTATTATTTTTAAATTATGAAACAATTGCCTTTCTTTTATACACTATTTATTATAGAAAAAATATACTTACAGGCAAGAAGTTGCAACCTTTCGTGTCTATTGTTAATTTTGTTCTGTACTTCATGATAAATTCTTCTACTCTTTTGGATAACGGATGATTCAATAGTTTCGCCATTGTTTTGATAAAATATTCGTACTAAGAATAGATATAATTATCTTATATTATTTAATTATTATAACAAATAAATAGAGTAACAAAGTTCTTTTTCTAAACTTACTTGCTCATCAGACAATGTTTCAAGTAATAATTTTTCTAGTTGAACTTTAGTTATCCATGTTGATTCATGTGGATCCCTGAAAATAACAAAACAAAAAAATATATTCAAAATACTATTTTATCATTTATTTTTAGCACTTGTTTAACAATAATATTATTTTACATACATTTTATTTTCATTGGGAAGCGTTCCGGTAGATTTAATAAACTTATCTTCTAAGTCATCTAAATTTTTGAATTGTTCTATTATATTCTATAAATTAATAATGACATTAAATTAGAAATATTTCTTTCCTATTAAATTTATAAATTGTTTATTGAAAATTTTACTTACATGAAGCGTTTCATAATAGAAAGGTGTTATCATAAAAAAGAATGGATGAATCGGTTTTCCATCAGCAGAAAATTCAGCTACCTTCTGAGGTGGAAAGATTTCTTTTGGATGTTTCATCAAGGGTCGTGCTTTGGGATCATACAACCCGGATGGAAAAAGATATTCTAATGATCTCTAAGCAAAATTTTACAATTGATATAATTTATATAATTATAATTAATATTTTATAAAAAAATGATAATAAAGAATCATAAATTGTAACACAATCACAACTTACATCAACATCTTCTTGCGTAAAATGTTCGGCATCCATACCCATCATGTTTGCAAGATGTCTTTTACCCTTTTCATATTCAAATAGTTCTTTTTCCATTAATTCCTCTATAAAAAGAATAATCAATCATATATTTCTATTATAAACAAATAGAAATCTGTTATGATTAGCAGAAGAAAAAAATAAATCAATTACCATGCTTTTGGATACGCTTCATATAAGTTTGCATAGCTTTGGTTGTATATGATACCTCGATGCCGCTTTGATCTGTCAAAGTTTTAGATTGTTGTGTACTAGATAAACGAAAGATTGATTCCTAATATAAAACAAAAATATAATATTATATATTTATATTTTGAGGTTAACTGCAAAATTATGTAAGGATTAAAACATTATAATCATTGTCATTTAAAATTATCAATTGAAAATTACCAAACACTGGATTGTATTCGATGATATACCGAGAACATTGTTATTAATTTTCAATAAATTACGAAAATTAGAGAAACGTATAAACATTGGTGTTGCCATGTTTACAATTTTAAAGAAAAACTCAATATTTCAATAAATATATGTTTGATATTATTCATTATCGATATAGAGATCGATTGTGCAGTATCTATAACAAGATCGATTTATGTATTGGACTAAACGAATGCGGCGTCATCTACAATAAACAAGTAGGATACAATATATATATTAATTTCTATCTTATGAAGTGCACAGTATGAATTAAATAGATTATTATTATTTTATTTATTTTTCATTTGTATAAGATCCAATTATTGCTAATCTAGCCTATTTGTATAATTCATGTTATATTTCATCATGGCACACGTCAGCACAGTGCGCCCCCTACTTCGTTACTTATATTTGATATGTGATGTGGAGAATAGATTGGCTTATGTAAAAAGAAAAAGAATAAAAAAAAATTATATTAGGTTAATAAAAGAAGTAGCACGTTAGAATTATTTCTAAAAATGGTACGTATTGTTAATAACATTTGTTAATAACATGATAAAAATGTTGTAAAAGTTGTTAGTCGTTTTTAATATATATTGCGTGAAAGATAATAATACTTTTCCATTTGCAGATTTCAACTGCCAAATATAATTATTTTTTTCAAGTAAAACAAATTTTTTATATGATAATTGTATACCCAATTGATTTTTATAATTTTAGGTACTTATCGCTGCTGCTGTATGCACAAAGGCGGGAAAAAGTAATTATAATTTTTTTAATATCATTATATGATTACACATATATACGTTCACGTGTATGTTTATTTGTAATACACTAGGTTCTCTCAAATTATTCAAATATAGATATAAAGTTTAAATGTCTTATATATTTACAAATTATATTTATCACTATTAGTAATAGTTTGATAGTAATACTTTAGCAATATAAAAAAAGACGAAAGAGTACTCTATTGACAATTATTATAATTAGACCAATTAAAAGAACAATATTGGATATATTTAAAGATATAAGGATAGACACTTACTTATGTATATACAAATATATGACTTTGTTTTTTTTAGCCATCATTTCCCGTCAATTCGTTGAAATGACAAAAGCAAGAATTGAAGGATTACTAGCTGCATTTCCAAAGTTAATGAGTTCCGGTAAACAGCATACTTTTGTTGAAACAGAATCTGTGAGATATGTTTATCAACCATTAGAAAAAGTATACATGCTACTCATTACGACGAAGGCTAGCAATATCTTAGAGGATTTAGAAACTTTACGACTCTTTGCAAGAGTGGTAAGTATTGTATTATATATTATTGAACTTCACAAATTAATAATAATATCTTTTTAGATCCCAGAATATTGTGTTTCAATGGATGAACTTGAAATAGCAGATAATGCATTCAATTTAATATTTGCATTTGATGAAATCGTCGCTTTAGGATATAGAGAAAGTGTCAATCTTGCGCAAATAAGAACTTTCGTAGAAATGGATTCTCACGAGGAAAAGGTTTATCGTGCAGTGAGAATGACTCAAGAACGTGAAGCTAAAAATAAAATGCGTGAGAAAGCTAAAGAATTACAACGGCAACGAATGGAAGCGAATAAGAAAACTGGTATCAAAAATCCAGGTTTTGGTAGTGGTTATGGAAGCAGTGGTGGTTTCACTCCAACTCCTACGGTTGGAGATACTGCTAATTTTGTTCCTGATACAGTAAGACCATCATATACTCCAGCACAGTAAGTTCATTTAATTGCAATATTTTCTCAAATTTCTTAAATTTTATATAAGAAAATATAATGAAAAATATTATGTGGTTGTAGAAAGTCAGCCAATACTGGTCCAGGGGCTATGAAACTTGGTGGAAAATCTCGTGATGTTGATTCGTTTGTTGACCAATTGAAAGAAGAAGGTGAAAATGTCGTAAGCGCTCCACTTGTAGCGTTAGGAGCAAAATCTGTGCCAATCAGTCCTCAGATAATTAACACTGAACCGTATGTATCTTAATTCCTTTATTATATTATATGATATTTATTTATGTTAATTAATTCCATATAAACAGTGTTCACCTACGACAAGAAGAGAGACTTAATGTACGCATTGGACGTAATGGAGGTCTTCAACATTTTGAGTTACATGGTTTAGTCACGCTGCATATCTCTGATGAAAAGTGGGGTCGTATCCGTGTCCAACTTGAAAACAGAGATTCAAGAGGAATTCAATTACAAACTCATCCAAATGTCGATAAAGAATTATTTAGGACTCGTGGCCAAATTGGATTAAAAGTACCTTCTAAACCATTCCCTTTGAACACAGATGTTGGTGTTTTAAAGTGGCGTTTACAAGCTCAAGACGAAACAGCATTACCAATTTCAAGTATGAATTTTTTTTAATTAGCTACAATTTTTAATCCTTTCTTTACTTACAAAAAACAAACTAAGAATTTACAGATTTGTTTTAATTCAAGTAATAATTAACAATTTAACTTTTTAATTATATAGTAAACTGTTGGCCTAGTGAAAGCAGTGATGGGGGTTGGGATGTAAACATTGAGTATGAATTACAACAAGATGATCTTGAATTAAATGATGTAAACATAAACATTCCACTTCCAATTGGATGTACTCCTATAGTAAGCTCATTTGATGGACAATATACGCATGAGACAAAGAAAAATATATTAATATGGTCGCTACCATTAGTCGATGCCTCGACAAAGTCTGGTTCAATGGAATTTTTTGCCCCATCTTCAACGCCCGCAGATTTTTTTCCACTTCATGTTTCTTTTGCATCCAAGACGTCGTATGCCAAAATAAAGGTATCGTAAATGTTTCAAAATATTTTATATTTTCACCGCATCTTAAAAAAATATAAATAATTAATTTTTTTTTCTTATTTTTTAATGTTCAGATCACGGAAGTTTTATTAGTAGAAGATGAGAATCCTGTAAAACATTCTATAGAAACAGTTTTCTTTACTGACAATTACGAAGTGGTATAAGTCGCAAAAAAGAAAAGAAAAGTAGATGTTAGTCTACATACGCTTTGAACTCATGGAAATGAATACGATACATTGGAAAACGTAATTTTGATGATAAGCAACTAGCCTAATTAGTATTCATATGCCAATCAGATTTCTATTTCCATATGATCATTTACTTAATGATCTCATGGTAACTGCAAAAATGTATTGCAGTTTATTAATCTGCACATTACAATCATATTGTAATAATTGTATGTTCAATATTAATTTATCCGAAACAAAAACGTCAAAAAAGTGTATTTTAATTAAGAAAAAGAGGTAAATATCTTCAAATATAGTCAAGTTTAATCAAGTTTATTGAATTAATTACATATATAGAATATAGAATATTAACGCTATGTTTGATTATTTCCTTCAAATTAAAATATTAAATGACAAAGGCTGTCATTTATTTTCACAAAGGACAAATAATTTCACTGTTTATATGCCTTTTGCGTATTGTTGTATACATAAGACTACTTCTTTAGTATACTAAAAAAAAAGAGAAAGAAGAAAAAAAAGTAAAATTTTTTCTTCTAACATTATATTAAATGTTATAGTTGCATCAATTCCTTTACTTCTTCTATTATAATTACGTATAAAAATATTTAGAAACGTAATTTTAGTTTGGGTTACTGAAATTTATAAATATTTCTTTTATCGTATATACACATATATATTGTGATTATATTATATTCTATATATATTTTTTTCTTATCACCAAACGTTACACTTAAGAAACGTATTAATCCTTACATCGAAATTTGTATCTTTAAATAATTTTAATATATATGAAACACACAGTTATACTACTTATGTATGTGCTAAATGTGTATATATAATACGTATATATGCTATGACTTTTTATATGCACATACCGAGATAAAATATCTATTATTTTTAAACAAATTTATTTGAATCTTTTATAAAATGTTTCGAATTAGTTATGAATTAATGAGTATTGTTATACTTGGAAGTATGTATTATAGTTAAAAATAATAATAAATCAAGTATATATTTTATTGTTCATTAATGCATGTTTAAAACAAAGCAAACTACATATTCAATATAAATGATGCTATTTAATGGATATATCGGGTGGAAGCAATCATAAAAATTGATTATTTAAATTTTTTGAAAGTATTGTTTGGAGAAATGTTTTTAAAATAAATACTATAGAAGTGATTATTTATTTAATTTGATTACACAAACATGCGCATATACATCAATGTGTAGGAATTGTTAATGTTAAGATAAATATTAGGTAGAATTCATATATTATAATAAAATTATTTTTACTGGTATTAGTGTCATTATTATATCTTCAATTAATCTTTGACTTTTATTATATTTAGCATTTGCATTCAATATATAACTGCTTTTTCTCTAATTAGTGAAATATATATTTAATAATTTGTATTTCTTTATGTACATATATAAATATTTTTATTTTATATTATGTATATACAAAGTGTCTTGTAATTGGTGGTACAGGCCGAGTAGGGTATGATTCTATATGAAAATTAATTGCAAGTAAAAAAATGTAAAATAAAATTTATTCCTGCAAAGCTTTATTTTGAAATAAAAAGTTTGAACATTTGTACATTTTTTAGTTAGTTTTTCATATAGAATCATTCACTGCTTACTTGCATCACCACCTATAGGACACCCTGTATGTATTTGTAGTTAAATTTACTATATATTATATATTAAAATAATTATTTACAGTATAAAATGTCATTACAGATAATATACAAAATAATATATAATATTCATTATAATAATGATATTATTTACAGAATGTTTAAAAATATTCAAACAATCAGTTAACAGGTTATGGTAAGATATCAGATGGTATACTTACTACTTGTTGCAACAGATAGTTTTCAATAACTGCCTTGGCTGTAAAGAAAGAGAAATATGTATGTCTACTTTAAATTATTTTTATACTTAGGCTTTTTATTTAAAATTCTGTTATTTTATTTGATTTTTATACTCTTACCAGTTAATGAATTATTTATTATTGCAGCTTGGTATGCACTTATATTATGTACATTACGATGTGTAATATCTGCTCCTCTAGACAAAAGTTCGTAACAAACATGTGGATGATCACCATGTGCTCCATAAATAAGAGGCGTGTTTCCTTCCTAAATGATGATATTTTTGTTACATGTTTTCCTTTTTTTATGTGCAATATATAAAAGACAAAAAAATGATATAAAATAAATAATATAAACCTCATCGCTTGCATTTGAATCAGCGCCATGATTCAAAAGTAACTTTACAAGATCGTGATGACCGTAAGCGGCAGCTAAATGCAAAGGAGTCTCTCCATTATGACCACGATAATTTTTGTTTGCGCCAGCTTTTAACAATTGCCTTGCGCTACCTAATTGTCCATATCCTGCAGCCCACATAAGACCCGTTAAACCTTTTTCATCTGTAAGATCTACCGATCCTGGAAAGTATAATAACTGTGCCACAAAATACAAGTAATCAATATATATTGTGTTATTTTCTCAAGAACAAGGAGAAAAAAAACCTGGTTGTATGATTTCAGGAGTAAGTTCTCCTTGACCAGCTAATGTATGAAATGTAATATCTGTTCTTCCATAGAGTTGAGGTATTTTTGTACGCGTATTACCTCTTTGCAAGTTAGTTAACAAAGTTGGTGGCTGTAAAAGTATAGATATAAAAGCAAAATTAAAGATGTATAGTATATGATAAAGATGTGTTATATATAATGAATCACCAATATTATACCTTATACGGTTGAAATGCACTAGTTCTGGTTGCATCCTGCCATGCACCCGGTGCCCAATGCCACTTCCTTTCTATTGGTTCTGACCTACACCCTATGCTCACATTATCTGGTTTGTATATCAAAGGTCTTGGTCGTATACCTATTGCTGTTTCAGTATTATCTCTTGTCGTTCCTTTTAATTACATTAACATTAAATGAAATTAATTATTCAATGATAAGTTTATATGAATAAAATTGTACCTTCTTTTTTACTTCCTGAAGATTCATATTCTTCTTCTTCGTTTTCTTCTTCTTTTATAATTAATTCTTCATGAATTTGATTTTCCATGACTGTTTAAAAATATTTAGAATTATATTACATGTGAAAATATATACAAAACGGTTGGTTGGTTTTGATAAACCAGAGCATGTCACACGTGAACAAGTTGTTTCATTAAATTATTGAAAATGTATTTTCACATATATATCAAATAAAATACAATTTAAAAAATAGATATATTAAATAGATAAATTAAAGGTAATCTTATAGAAGCATTGTAACTGGGATATAACTCTTTAATATTTCTGTTTACAAATAAAAACAAAGCGCATCTCAATTTAGAGTCAAGGTTAGCGGGACATTTAAAATTTTATCAAATTCGTATTTCATTTGATATTATATCGGTTAATGATATTGTTCAGAAATAAGCACATTTATCATACATCTGTAGCGTCTCAACTACTTTCCGCTAGGAATGAAAGGCGGCACCACGAACATCAGCGCGCATCTCCTGCTAGGGACGCTAGCCGGCAGCATCAGTGATCCATATATGTAATACTTCTATATGGACAGTTTTGTGGCGTCTCGCATGTAGCGGTACGACCGATGGTCGCGCCATCTAAGTTACTAGAAGGCTAGGGAACCACGCCAGCAAGTGTGGTCACCAGACGGGTACAGTCTGTGCGTAGCCGTCGAGAAGTGTACAAGAAAGAAAAGCAAGTCGCATCCTAACAATAAAGATCATAAAACAAATTCAGTCTAATATTATCTTTACTATAGAGAAACCCTC